TATGGACTGGATTGAGATAGAGATTATACATATATATCTCAATCCAGTCCATACACTGTATAAAGAAGTGTGTGTATCTTAATTAAAGGAAAAAATATCTTGCATGAATGGGGGAGATTTTTTTTAATATATATATATATATTATATAATATATATATAATAAAAAATTAGACAAAATGACATATCTCCAAAATGTGTGTGTGTATATATATATTATACAAAAGCAGAAAAAAAAATATATATAAAATATTTTTTTTATATATATTTAAAGGTGTATTTTTTGTTTTTTTTTCCTTCATTATAGATTGGAATGGCTCACTGCCACTAGGGGTATTTATTTTCCCTATGGTTTGTTTTGTGGGGCTGAGACATTTTAGTCCTTTTTTACAACTGCTTATGGGATGGTATATAACCCTTTTTTTGTCATATTGCCTCTTCTACAGACTGTTGTGTGGTCAGTGGGACATCTTTAAAAGTCAGACCTAGCTGGAGGGACCCTGGCTGATGGAATGCTTTTATATTGGGTGATTTAGGAGTGATATGCTGTAGGGACTTTGTTTTGTTTTCTTGGCTGGTGGCCTCAGGCTTGCTGTGCAGTAGATTGCTCTTGCAGAACCTCTTGTGTGTAATAAACCTTCGTTCAGTGTATGAGTGTATGTGTGTGTTGTGTGTAGCCCGGTAGTGGATGGTCATGTTACGTTGGACGTGTTCAGGATGTTGTGTTTTGCCCAAGAAGCTGCTTTGGGTCAGAACCAAAGAGGTCGCCTAGATGAGCTGTCATCCCTCTTCAGTGTTATTGCACCTGACTTCTGCCTGTACCATGGACCAGAGATGTGAGAATCTCCTGCCTGACATCATGTTGTTGGATCTTGGAGTAGTGTCCTCGTGTATTACTTGAGTTGAGTAGTGTGTGGTGACATAATCAACGCGGGAGATATGTATATTGGTGTTTTCCCTTAACTTGTGCTGTGGTCAGTAAATCATGTTTTGTATTCTTAGCTTGTATTTTTTGGTGTATTTTTCCTTCCAAGTGACCAGACTGATTGGAAGGTGCTATCTTTATCTTCGTGTATTTGATACCATTAGATATACCTGTTAAGGTTCCCATATATCCATGTCCTGGTACAGCTCAGGAGTAGGCGGCAACTTCAACATTCCAACTATTAACTAAAAGTCCCATGAGGCATTGTAAGAGTTTGACAGCCACAGGCATGGTCCACAGAGGCATGATGGGACTTTTCTCACAGCTGGAGGGCTGAGGCTGCCTTCCATTACTACATCAGTGGTAGGTAGTTGTCACATTTAGTTTGGTTAGTTCTGTAATGAAGATGTTCGTGAAAAGCCACTGCATTGGTTAGGAGAATCTATGAAATGTCTTCATTATAAAACAAGTCCAGCTAGTTAATTATTAGCTATGCACACTTACACTCGGTCGGCTTTTCCCTGGAACGTTTAAAAAGTCCTATTGCTTTTTGTTTTGTCACATTGGGTTAATGTATCTTTGGACTTTGTTTGGGGAGGTCTTTGTGATTAGAGGACATTACGCATTTGTAATGTTTTTCCTTTTTTTTTTTTTTGCATAAAGGTTACGTAATGTGAGTCTGGTCTGTGGTATAAACATTGTTGTGGTTAGGGGTGGAGCTCGATCAGCTCATTCATAGAGGAATGTCCCATGTAAATTCCACCTCCAGCTCTAGTTGTGTTGTAGTAATTTTGTTTCAGAATAGACATTCTTCCAACGCCCACTGAAGGGTTCACATGTAGGGACTTTGGAGCTTGCTGATTGCTTGACTGTTTCACCAGACTGGTGGTATGATTTGCAATGAGTGTATGATCTGGTGAGGTTTGTATTGTCTGGTGATTTGACATGATTGTATTGTCCTGGTGAGGTTTGTATTGTCTGGTGGTGATTTGCAATGATTGTATTGTCTGGTGATTTGCCATGATTGTATTGTCCTGGTGAGGTTTGTATTGTCTGGTGATTTGCAATGATTGTATTGTCTGAGGTTTTGTTTTTTTTCTATTACTATTACCTTATGGGTGGCACTAGGTTATAGAATTGTGGGATACCGTACAGTTTTGTTATTGATCACATTGAATACATATTTTGGTGCGTTTAAGCAAGTATACTGGATGGTAGGGACAGTGTATGAACAGGAGCTTCTTTTAAACCATTTTAACACATGTGGTTGAGAAGCAGACTGCGGGTTTTTGTGCTGACATTCCTATGTATGCAGCTAGCAAAGCATAAAGGGTCACAAGGCATGATGAGGTCATTGCCTTTACATAGAGATGTTTGTTCCTATGGGGTGTTTTTGGGCGGGAGAATGAGTCAACACTTCAGATCGGGGAAATCAGCCAATCACTGGGATGTGTCAGAGGTTTTACTGTCTTTACTTTCACTGTGTTTACATTCACTCACTGGTGTTTCAGTTGTGTTTTTTTTTTTAAGTTTTGTGTAAAGGTTATTGATGCATAACTCAGTTTTGGACAGTTTTTTCTAAAGCTATGATCAGTTTTCCTCTTTCATACTTTGATATAGTTATTGAAAAAAATTGGCACAAAAGAGAAAGTTGTCTATGGGACTACTGACACTAGTTTTTATTTATATATATATATATATATATATATATATATATATATATATATATATATATATATATATATATATATATATAGATATATATATACACACACACACGTATGCAAGTTCTATCGCTTTTATGTACTGGAGAGGGAAGATTCCCTAGAGAGGCCATGTCGCCTTTAAAGCCTTTTCTTTCTGTTTGGTAACTTTTTATGGTGTTACTTTACATTGATTTAAATGAGCTGAAATTGTAGTAGTAGAGGAGGCAGTCCATACAAAGGCAGTGTCATTATAGAAGGATTATGGAAATGGGTTGTCTGAAGTCTAATAATTTCTAATTGGAGACCCATTTGGCCATCAGGGGCCCTATTCTGACAACAGATTGTATATACAGGCTTGAAAATGTAAATGGTATAGATTGTCACCAGTCATACTAGACATGATGTACTACTGCAGTTGTGGAGCCTTGTTTCCTTTTGCACATTCTTAGATTTGTGTAATCAAAGTAGATTGACAGCATTTCTATTTGCAGGCCTCCTCTGGATGTAAACCATGGTATGATGGGGCAGACTGTCGAGGGAACCCCAGGAAAGCGTATTCGCAAACCCTCTCTGCTGTACGAGGACTTTGAGGGCCCCACCATGAATTCCAGTGTCTTTAATCACACGCCTCAAGTCACCCCACACACTCCGGAGGTCAGCAATTCCAAAAAGCCTGGCCGCTGCACTAACCAGCTGCAGTACTTGCTGAAGGTGGTCATGAAATCTCTGTGGAAGCATCAGTTCTCTTGGCCTTTCCGTCAGCCCGTTGATTCCATAAAGCTGGGTCTTCCGGTACGTTTCTGGGGTTGTTTTCTGGGGTTTAAAAAGTTACTTGCACAACACACTATTGGGGGTAACCAATAAAAAAAAAAAAAAGCCCAATGACATGCATATGTTTTTCTTACCAATCCTGTTCCTTGTTTTTTGGCAAATGCAATATTCTGCATATTGTCACTATCACAGCACAAACACATTGAAACATTTTCATATAATAACCGCTTGCTTCTAAAACCTGATGACAGCTCTGGGTTTGTGACTAAAGCATTTGGTGCTGTGGGGTTCAGGGCACATAGCGTGACAAATGTCTGAGGACATGTACAAGTTCTCCTGCCAATGCAGGTTATGATGGGGTAGAGTTTGTATCGCTTCTCTTCTCTGCGTGGTGAAGAACAGATAATAATCATGTAGTGTAACCTTTCTACCTTGCATCCATCGCTGCCCCCTCCCACTCATCCCTACAAATGTATGGATGTCTTCATGCACGCTGTGTAGTTAAAGCTTCTTATAATGTAGCTGCCAACCCTATATTTTATGAACTGATTGATTTTACTTTGTGAAATGCAAATTTCCAATTGATACATTTTGCAGATCTGCACATCCATGAATTTGTACAGGACCCCAAGTGTGACAAAGTATTTAACGCTACACACACTGAGATGTCTTGGATTAGAAGTATGAAGGTACATTAAAAAATGGTAGGTGTGCTATTATTTAGCTTCTAGACTACAGCCATAATTTGCCCTGCACCTCCTCACCATCTCGCAATGCTCCCATGATTTAAAATGCCTGTGTACCCTCCTGACCCGCCCGTAGCTCTGAGCTTCTGGTGTGGTCACCTCTAGCACCGTACTGCACCCGCAGGGCAGGTCCTGGGGTTACAGTCTTGCTGCATTTATGGATTCAAATTGATACGTTCAGACTTTGTTTTAGAATTGTTGCTTGTGTTTCACATAGTGGCTAAAGGGGTACATGAGTTTTCAAAATGGAATCTTGTTTCGAACGCCTCCTGTGTCTTATCAAATTACTTGGAGTGGACAGTTGTATAACACGTTAACTGTTTAATGTCCCAGAGCTGTCATCAGGTCCTATGTACACAGAGAAAGTGATAGCCACTCATGATACAGGGTCTGTTGTACACTGTGCTGAAGATGCAGCCAATATTGGGATCTAAGTGGGGGGGCTATTAAATATGAATGTTGTGTTCCTTAAGACGGGAGCTGATCTATGTAAACTGGATTTCAGAGCAACAACTTAATGGGGTTTGTTACTTAAACTGCAGTGCAAAATCTGGTGCAGCTGTGCATAGCAATAAAACCTGGAAGTGGATTGGTTTCTAAGTTTTTAATTGATCAAGCTGAAGTTAGAAGCTGATTGGTTACTATGCATAACTGCACCAGATTCTGAGCGCACCAGTGTTAAGTAAATCTCCCCCAATGTTTTCTACCAGTTGCTGCAGCTTTCATAAATCAGCCATGTTTTCTGCTGTGTAGAGGGAAATAGAAATGTATTTTATGTTGCCAGGTTATATTTATCATGTGTGTTAAACTGGAGAGCTCACCAACATGCTTTTTCTTCGGACTGGTGTGGTTGCAGGATTATCATAAAATCATCAAGCAGCCAATGGACATGGGAACTATTAAAAAGAGACTGGAGAACAACTACTACTGGAGTGCACTGGAGTGTATGCAGGACTTCAATACAATGTTCACTAACTGCTATATCTACAACAAGGTAAGAGCTGCTTGCATTACAATGGATTACTTCTTCAGCGTTTACATGTAAATAAAGTACATTCTGTGTCTGCTGGGAAGACCAGGTTTTTTTTATTAATTGTGGTTCTACATTTATGAAGCCCACAGATGACATTGTGCTGATGGCCCAAAGCCTGGAGAAGTCCTTTTTACAGAAGGTAGCACAGATGCCCCAGGATGAACAAGAAGTACCCAATACTGCAAACAAGAGCAAGCAAGTGAAGAGTGTCAAACCTCCAGGTAGATACATCCGCTCTTCTGTTCCTTACTCTTCAGGGACTTTTTGCAAAAGTAGTAAATTCAGCAGAATGATCCTATGACCAAGGTGTATTTACTACGTTTTTACATTGAAGCCTGCAAAGCGTTGCACCCTCGATAGTGCATAGATTCTAGGCAGTGTTTTGGTCCTGGGCATGTGCAGAAGATGAAGCATCTGTTCTGTAAAAGGAATTTAAAGGTATAATGGTATACTACATGGTTGTCTGGTTTTTCTTCAGCTGTCACGGGTGGAATCACAACTGCACATCAAGTCCCAGCCGTCTCATCCATGTCTCAGTCTTCACTGTACCCCAGCTCCCCAGAAACACCCACCACCATTGTTAATATACCACATCCACCTGTCCTCTCTAACTCTGTGATGAAACCAATGCCCCCTGCGCAGACACTGATGCCTGTGGTTCCAGCAGCCACACAACCTATAGCAAAGGTAAGGTGGTGTTTGTTTTATGATGCTAATCCATGTTGTGTTTGTCATGTGGGATGTTATTTGTAATTGTCTACTACTAGTCCTGCTCATGTGGGACAAACGTACGTTTTAACCTTTTCAGTTCATAAAGTAGAATATAGGTTTCATGACTTGTTTGTTTTTCTCTTGTAGCAGAAGAAAGGTGTGAAGAGAAAAGCAGACACTACAACCCCAACCACCACAGCTATTATTGCTACCAGTGGAGACTCCTCCCCTCTAACACCACCCGATACGAAACCTGCCAAAATCCCGGCCCGGCGAGAAAGTGGTCGGCCCATTAAACCACCTCGAAAGGACTTGCCAGACTCTCAACAGCATCAAACTTCAAAGAAGGGCAAACTGTCTGAGCAACTAAAATACTGCAATGGCATTCTGAAAGAACTTCTTTCTAAGAAACATGGAGCCTATGCATGGCCGTTCTACAAACCCGTGGATGCCTCTTCTCTGGGACTACACGACTACCATGAAATCATAAAACACCCCATGGACCTTAGCACCATTAAGGTGGGGACAAGATGCAGAGAGCAAGCACATGTTTTATATCGATATATGCACAAATCTATATAGATTAACTTGCTGGAACCAAATGACTCGAATTATCCGATTTTTAGTTAATTTGAAATATACATAAACCTTCATATTATGGAAAGGCTTAATATTGGTTGTCGCTAATGACAGGAGGTGAAACCTATTAACCATTTTGAAGGTGACTTGTTCTTGAAAGTTAGTAGCCTTTTCGTTGCCATAGTCTGAACGGATGGAATTGTTATGTGCAATCCTAGCAATACTCATTAGCCTTTCTCCCTATACAGAAAAAAGATGGAGAACAGAGAATACCGAGATGCACAGGAGTTTGCGGCCGATGTCAGACTCATGTTCTCTAACTGTTACAAATATAACCCTCCTGACCATGATGTGGTGGCCATGGCCAGGAAGCTGCAGGTAAGAATTGTTGTGTGGGAGCCGTTGGTTTGTTACGTTGGTCATCTATGGCGACACTCATCTGTGGTTCATTTTCTAGGACGTATTTGAGTTTCGTTATGCTAAGATGCCTGATGAGCCTATTGTAGTGACTCCGCCTGCCTCCTCCACACAACTGCCTCCCTCCGATTCCAAATCCTCCTCTGAATCCTCCAGTGAGAGCAGCAGTGACAGCTCAGACGAAAGTGAGAGTTCTGATGACTCTGAGGAGGAGCGGGCAAACAGACTGGCGGAGCTTCAGGAGCAGGTATGACTGCAGCAAAATGGCGTTGTCTGGCAATTTTACAGAGGAGGGTGGTTAAACTATGGCTTGCTTGCTATGTTTGTTCAGGTGAACTACAGTAACTTGTAATTGGAAATTATTTTAATGTGAAATCTTGTTGCTATTTGCTGCTCCAGTTTAGAATGTTCTCTTATAGTTGGGCTCCTGGAAGTGTAACTTTTCTAAAATTTGCATGGCTGTTACCTGCTGTTCTTTGACCCCATGCTAATATTGTTAAACAATGATTGTCCACTTAGGGCTCATGTACACTGCAGCTGATAAACTCGCGTTTAGGAGCTGTTCAGCGTCTTTTTTTTTTTTTTTGTTTTTTTTTTTGTTTTTTTTTTTTTAGCCGCCCCTGAACTCTCCCCAATGTTTTCCTATGTGTCCATGTACACACCTTCGTTTACAGTCAGTTTTTTTTTTTTTTTTAACGCAGAAAACTTGGTTCAGCAGTCGATTTTTGTCAGTGTTTCAAACGGTAAACGTGGAAAATCACGTTTTATAAGCGCTCGCTAATTTTTTATTTTTTTTTTAACTCTTCCAGTTCCCAATGCTGTCCAGAGCCTTTTTTCATCATGAAAAATGCATGGAAAGTGTTTTCAGGGTACTCAGATGGACAAAACACTGAACACAGGATGTTCCTACCAAGCTTGTCACACATTGTAATGACCAATTCACACCTCAGACCTCTCCCAACCTTGGAAACAAAAGATGTTAATGACCATTCACACCTCACATTCCTCATGAAGACCCCCTGCCAGATGACCTTAATGACACCTTTCCCACCCTTGGAAACAAAAGAAATGTTAATGAGCAACTCACACCTTAGCTAATCTCAACACATACTGCTGTCTCTGCTTCTACTCTCTGTATTTCTCTGAAATAGTTCATAATTTACCACTTTTCACTGCATTCTGGGCATTTGAGAGGTTCTCCTGTGCTTCTCTTTAAAAAAAAAAAAAAAAAAAAAAACGCTTCTAAACATAAGCAAGTTTCGCAAACGCGGCTAAACAGACTTTTTTTAACCTACGTTTTCCAGCAGTCAGTTTTCATCGGTCAGAAGTGTCCCGTGTACATGGGGCCTTAGAAATGTAGGGGGTGTCACCCATGGCCCTTTTTGGGGAAAACTGTCAAGGACAGGCTTACCTGTAGGTACAGTAAATATCTCAAACAGTTTTTAGTAGATGGATACATGTGTAGCAGCCAGTAACGTCACCAGCAGATGCACACTTCACTCTTGGTGGACAGCATGCTGTCCATTGAGGGCTGTGTCGCAACCGTGACCCCTGTGTGTGGAAGTGATCTAATTTCAGCTTGGCCATTCAAATGGCTCGAGCCCACAAACCTGGAAGGAAGACTGGGTGAAGATGGAATCCTTGAGTGGTGACAACACACCACCACAGGGACCCCTCCACTCCTTTTTTTTTTTTTTTTTTTTTTTTTTTTTTTTTTTTTTTTTTTTTTTTTTTGCATACTAGCACATTATGACAGGCTCAAAAGGAAAAAAAAACCCTTTTCCTAACACTTGGCACAGCACAGTGGCTAAATGGTTAGCACTTCTGCCTGGCAGTACTCGGGTCGTTGGTTCGAATTCCAGCCACAGCACCACCTGCCTGGAGTTCTCATGGTCTCCCTGTGACTGTGTGGGTTTCCTCCGGGTACTCCGGTTTCCTCCCACACTCCAGACATGCTGGTAGGTGAATTGGCTCCTGTCTATATTGTCCCTAGTATGTGTGTATGAATGTAAGTTAGGGACCTTAGATTGTACGCCCCTTGAGGGTTAGGGACTGATGTGAATGTACAATATATATGTAAAGTGCTGCGTAAGTTGACTGCGCTATATAAGTACCTGAAATAAATAAAATAAACACTTTCAGATACTTGAGAAGCATTTACATGAGACTACTAGAGACCACTGTCCTAATAGCCTCTTCACACATGAATGCTGGGAGGATGCAGCGAGTACGGTAGATGTACCGGCACAGGTGCTACACAGTATTGAAATGTAGCATTAGTCCAGGGGTGGCTAACCTGTGGCTCCAGCTGTTGTGGAACTACATTTCCCATGAGGCATTGCAAAGATGGGAAGTTACTGACTTGCAGAGGCATGATGGAACTTGTAGTCCTGCAGCAGCTGGAGAGCCGCAGGTTGGCCACCCCTGCATTAGTCCATAACTCACTTTCTTCAATTTTTGTTCTGCTCAGGCAGAATTTAGGTTTGTCTTCTATCTATGAATGCTTTGGGGAACTGTACGGTTTACTTGGCTTGCTGCAGTGAGAATCTAACTTTTTTAACATTTTGTATCTTTAAAGCTTCGAGCTGTACACGAGCAGCTGGCTGCTCTCTCCCAAGGCCCAATTTCCAAGCCGAAAAAGAAGAAAGAGAAAAAGGAAAAAAAGAAAAAGAAGAAATCTGATAAGCGGAAGGTCAAAGATGATGAAGAATGGAGGTGTGGCAAATCAAAATCTTCTCAGACCAAAAAATCCTCTAAAAAATCTGGGGGGACCACTACCACCAGCAGTTCTATGCCTGCTGTTTCAAAGTAAGTTTAAAGTGGAACCAAACCCTTAAAGCGGAGTTCCAGTCACACTGTCAAGTCAGCAGCTACAAAAATTGTAGCTGCTGACTTTTAAAGTTACTTACCTGTCCCCTGGTCCTGCTGTGTCCTCCCCTCAGCCCGTTTCACCAGCCGTCTGGTGTTGCAGGCAATGGCAACTTCAGTGTGACAGCTTCTTACAGCCGGGTGCCCACTGCGCATGCGTGAATAATGCTGTGCTTCCTGAATGGCCCCGTTGTCTTCTGGGACCCGTCACATGTCCCAGAAGACTACAAGGAGGGAGGGTAGGAGGACAATTTCTGCTTCTGATCGCCTAGGCGATCACAGTGGAAGTGGGAAGCGGGTACCTGTCAATTTTGGATACCCGCCCCCCAAAGGTGCCAATCCTTAATGGGGAGCGGGGGGATCAGTTTTTAAAGCAAAACTTTTCCTTTTGGGTGGAGCTCTGCTTTAACATGATCAAATAATGTTCTTTAGCAAGGGACATGCATTAATTGTGCTACCAATATTAGTGTGTAGTGTAAATTGCCTCCAGAATTGCTCTGGTTTCTTGCCAGAGGCGGCCATTTTGCTGAAGCCCAGAGCCTCTAGACAGCAGTAAATCATAAAGCGGAACTAAACCCATCAATTTAACTGTTTAAAATAAACTTACATTCCTGGAATGCTGGGATTTCTGTCACATTCGCTTGTGTCCCCAACCAAATTTCAAATGGCTGGCGTCATGTTCACATGTTCAGTACCATGGCAACTGCAGATCAACAAGCAGCTTTCTTGGCTCTAAAGGATAGATTCTAATTCTGCTGTCAGCAGATTGGCCTCTACAGATTCAGCAGTGCCTAAAAAGAGAGAGACTGAGCATGTGCAGAGCAGGGTACGAACCTATATTACTGGATTTTAAACCGTATAGACAATGTACATAGAGCTGCAAAAGGGCCATCCTGAAGTGATCTGGTAGGACTTTCTGACTAATGTTCCACTTTAAATTCTTGTATGTATTTTTGTGATCTGTAATAGTTAGTTATTGGACAGATGTTACATGCACAGCCTTGTTTCCTTATAGCATAGTGTCTGGATTGAGGAAGGTGGGTTTTTGCAATTGCTACGCATTGATGATCTAAAGGTGCAAGCTTTGCAGATTCTTGCTACGGTGATAATGAGCTTTTTGTTTTCATTTTTCAGGAGTTCTAAGAAATCCGCGAAGTCCCTTCCCCCACCTGTACCTGTTATGTATGACTCTGAGGAGGAAGAGGAGTGCAAACCAATGACCTATGATGAGAAGCGGCAGCTGAGCCTGGACATTAACAAACTTCCAGGAGAGAAGTTGGGCCGTGTAGTACATATCATCCAATCCAGAGAGCCCTCTCTGCGGGATTCCAACCCTGAAGAAATAGAGATTGACTTTGAGACTTTAAAACCTTCCACTCTTCGTGAGCTGGAGAGATATGTCATGTCTTGCTTGAGGAAAAAACCACGGAAGCCCTACAGTAAGTGCTCAGTCATTAGAACTGAAATGTCTCATCTACAGCTGAACATGAAGTCTGTACAGTCATTACTTCTATGTGACACTGCTGCTTGGAGAGGGGCCATTGCTGGATGCATTCCTTTTTACTGCAGTGTATAGGGGAAGATGTGAGCACAGAGTTGACCTCATCAGTGTTGCTTCTTGTCCTGTCAGCTAGCTTGAAGTGTGTTGTGGTGGGGTTATTTATTTGTTTTTCGGGCAGGAGACAAACTTTGCTGTAGGGAATTACAAACATTTTCAGAAGCCGTTCCCAATATGTGATTCAAAAATGGACTTCATTAAAGCAGAACATAATGTTCAACGCTGTCACAAACTGTAGGCTCTTTATTGCAGAAGAGCTATGAAGTGTCTTCAAGTTTCTCTGCTTTTTTAAAACTTTTTTTTTTTTTTTTTTTTTATGGGGAGCAAAGTCAACTTAAAAGTGCAGTAATAAGGTGTAAAACTAGTAGACTCCCTCCATCTGTCCAAAAGTGATGGGATTGTGTACTCACCCCCTGAGCTTCCCAATTATAGATGAGTAGTTCTAAACGCATTGGAATATGTGTACAAATTGTAAATGCCTAAATTGTAACCACCTTATCTTGTATATATGGAAACTTGTACCCTGTCTAAAAATCCATGTCCTTGTTTATCCTCAGCTTCCCCTAACTCGCTGTCTGCTGCACTTAAGAAACCAGTGGGGAAGACAAAGGAGGAGATTGCCATGGAGAAGAAGAGAGACCTGGAGAGGAGGCTACAGGATGTCAGTGGGCAACTGAACTCTGCCAAGAAACCACCCAAGAAAGGTTAATGTCCTGTGTTTTTGCTGTGATTTGGTAATATGTACACAGATGTTTTAACATGTATGGAGTATGGCTTCTGTGTGGTAATGTCACCATTGCATGGCCCTCTAGGGCCTGTTCAATATTCTATGTACCTGGGATGGCAACAAAACCGAAGACTGAAGCCCAGTCTGTTGACTGGCCTCGGGTGGTACACCGGTGAAACAAATCCTCCTAAGTTGAACCTGTGTATCCGCAGTCCTCTCTTTACTCTACATCTGTTCAATGTACTTGATTTATAAAGCTTGTCTGAGAGGAAAAAAGGGGCAGAGCTGAAATTACTCTGAGAGATGGTGGGTGGGTAGAGATGCACAAGAACAGAGCTTAGGCTGTCCATCTGCTGAAGCTCCCTCCCCTGTCACATGTTTTTTTTTTTTCTCTTGGTGTCAGGAAACTTGTCAGAAGTGATTCATGCTGACAGCAGAGAGAGGAGGCAGCAGACAAGTCATACCTAGTACTCGTCTTAATTGAGATAAATACACGTGTATTTATATGCTTTGTTCATATTTTATGTCTGAGGTTTACAAACACTTTAACCTGTAGGGTGGTGGTCTGTGCCCAGGGAAATGTCACTCATTAAAGCAGAACTAAATTCCTGCTTTTTAAAACCACAAATGTCAAACGCCAGGCTCTTTATTGTAGACAAGACATGCAGTAATGTCTCCTACAAAAAAAGAAACCTTTCTGCTTAGTCTTTCAACTAGACGCTGAGCTGCAGGATGACTACATGTATATGCAGGAGTGACGTCATCCCGCAGCCCGGCCGGTTAGAAGATGCTGGTGTAAAAGAAGTATCGAAGAGTTTAGCTCTGCTTTTAGGGGCGTTTCAGATCCATTTTGAATGTAAAATGTTGTATAAGAGTACTCAAACTTTCCAGGACAGTGCAAAACCTCACACACAGATGTCGGTGCCTGTGTCCACGAAGCCGAACTCCCTGATCGATCACTCCATTCATGTTATGACAATGTTTGTATATTCTGTACTCCTTTCCTGGAAATATTAACAAACTCTTACTGTTCTTTTGCAGCCAATGAGAAAGTGGAATCAGCCCAGCCGGTGTCGGTCTCTCGTCTCAGTGCTTCCAGCTCCAGTTCGGACTCTGACAGTAGCAGTAGCTCTACATCCAGCTCCTCAGACACTAGTGACTCTGACTCTGGCTGAGGGAGAGGGTGTAGCACAGAGGGGACATTTACCTTCCACTGTAGCAGGGTTGGAAGGCTGGAATTTTTGGTTCTAAAAGGATCTGCAGGAACAGAACCCTCCTGAACCAGACTTGATGCCCTTTGAGGGTAAAAGCAAACTGAGGCCTTTGGTATTTAGAGAACACCCGCCTTTCCCTCAGCTAGCTGTACTCTACAGCTGGGGAATCTCCTGGAGCATGATGAGGCATCACCCTTCTACCACCTGAATACGGACTCCTGTGGGGATCCAATAAAAGGCATTATAAAGGGTGGATGGCAGAAATGCAGTGTCCTTATTTTATTCTGTTTACAAGTTCTCCTTGGAACGCACAGACCTGGAAGCTGTACTCGGCTTTAGGATGATCTCGGCGGAGGATCTGTTCGAAGTTGGTCTCTTAGTTGTTACTTAGTGCAGTGTTAATCGTTGACTCTTCAGGCTTTCTCCTTCCTGTTTGTTTTCTGATGCGTACAGCACGCAATGGCGAAGTACTCTGTAATGTCTCCATTTGCAGTGTCTTGCCCATCAGTGCTTTGGGAATTTTTAGCACAGCAAAGAGGGCTGCTCGAGGGTCCAGAAAACATCAGCCTCCTGCTCATCCATCATGCAAATGTTGAGGCATTTGGAAGAGTTTTTATATCTGACAAGTAACTCGGTGACAGAAGGTCAGAAACCCCCTTTAGCCCCCTACTGCATGCAGCGTGTAAGGTGGAGGTTAGTTCTGTCCTACTGAACACATTCTATACCGAGTTGGTGTGTAAGGTGGCCATTCGCTCTTCACTGAACACTTTCTATACTGGAGGCTCCAAACTACAGAACTCATTCATAGCCTTTTCATGTTTTTATTTTTTTTTCTTTTTGTATTTATTTTAAACAAGCAAAAGAAGGATTTTTTTTTTTTTTTGTTCTTTGTTTTATAATGTAAAATAACAGAGGGTGCCCTGTTGATACAGGGGCCGGTGTAGATGTAAGATTTTATAAGCCCTGTACATAAATATATATATACGGAGTTGCACAAGCAGCATGTTTCTCAATGTAAAGGGTGACTTTATTTTTTACCTGGAAAAAAGCATTTTTATTTTCTTCCTAATGTTCCGTTGCTATAAATATATATATATACTCCTGTCTTATTCCCCCATCCCCCCCCCCCCCCCCTTTCCTTTTTTTTTTTTTTTTGTTTTTTTGTCTCTTGTATCGGTTCAAGCCCTTTAGTTTGGAAACATGTAAAATAAAGAAAATTTACATCCATCTGGAGTTGGTTTGTTTATTCACTAAACTGCAAATCCTGAGAAAGTGGAGTTATTGGCATGTTTCTTTTTGTAAGACTTGTTTTTTTTTCTGTGTGGGTTTTTTTTTTTTTTTTGTGTTCTTTTTAAAAATTATTATTGTGCACAAATTAGGCAAGTGTGTATTTATTACCAAATCATTTTTATGCATAATGTCCAACTCCCACTCTGTATAAATGCGAATGCTTATTGGATTTAAGCCTGATGTGTAATGAGGGAGGGTGTGGCCTAATGAGTTCCACACCGTATATCAAAGTGTGCATAATTATTTAAAAAAAAAATTTTTTTTGTAAGAGACTTTTTTTTGCAATTTTTGAATTTTCAGAGGATGGAGCACTCTTGAAATTGCTAAGATTGCAGAGTGATCACAGAACCATCAGATGTTTTTTTGTTGCAAATAGTCAACAGGGTTGCCCAACATGTTGAGTAAAAGATGCAAAGAATCAAATGTGAAGCTACTTGGAACCCATTACTCTCCAGTGATGTCATAGTCCAGAACTGCATCCTACCTGGAGTGCCCCGGTACAAGGTGTTCAGAGCTCAGAGACCTGGACAAGGTAAGGAAGGCTGAAACCTGACCACCACTGAGCAGGACACAAGTAGAAACGTCAAGACTGGGCCAAGAAATATCTGCAGATTTTTCAGAGGTTTTATGGACTGATGAGATGGACAGATGGATGGGCCTGTGGATGGATTAGTAGCAGGCACAGAGCTCCACTTCAGCTTGGATGCCAGCAAGGTGTAGGTGGAGTACTGCTATGGGCTTCTATTATTAAAGATGAGCTAGTTGGACTCCAACCCCAAACCTACTGCCGGGTTTCAGAAGATACCTTGTTCAAGCATTGCTCCCAGAACAAGTCTGCATCTTTCAAGAAAACAATGCTATGCAGGACAATATGCCATTGCATGCTTTGAGGCACTCCAGTGTGTGGCTTAACTACTTTGCCAACCGCAGATAGCCAAATGACGGCTGCACTGCGGCTGGCCAGTTCTGGGTGGGCGTCATATGATGTCCTCCCAGAACGCGGGCGTGCATCCGCATCTCCGTGATCACTGTGTCCTATGGACACAGCTGATCACGTGATGTGGTAAAAGGCCAATCACAGTGGCCTTTTACCACGTGATCAGCCGTGTCCAATGACACTGATTACCGGGAAATGCAATTGCCGGTTCTCGGCTGCGCTTTGCTCACGCTGTCAGATCGTGAGGAAAGTACTACCAAGAACCAGCAGTTGTTAGAGCAGGGATCGGTACCGATCATCAGGGCACTGATGATTGGTGCCTAGCAGTGCCACCCACAAGTTCTGCCCAGCAGTGTGCCCACTAACTTCGCCCACCTGTGCGCCCACTAACTGGCCAACTGTGCCCTGCAGTGCACCCACCTGTGCCACCCAGCAGTGTCACACATGTGCCCAGCAGTCCCACCCACCTGTGCCCATCAGTGCAGTGCTGCCAGTCAGTGCCCAGTGGTTGTGCCAGTCAGTGACACCTATCAGTGCCGCCTATCAGTGCACCTCATTAGTGCTGCCTATCAGTGCTGCCTCATCAACGCACATCAGTGAAGGAGAATAATTACCTGTTTGAAAAATTTTATAATGGAAACAAACTTTTTTTTTTTTTCTTTCTTCAAAATTTTGCAATTTTTTTTGTTTATAGCGCAAAAAGTAAAGAGCCCAGCGGCTTAAATACCACCAAAAGAAAGCTCTATTTGTGAGAAAAAAATGATAAAAATTTCATATGGGTACAATCTTGCATGACCACGCAATTGTCAAAGAGCGACAGCGCTGAAAAAAATTGGCCCTGGTAAAGAAATTGGCCGGGTATAAGTGCCTGGTAGGCAAGTGGTTAAAGGCCTTAAAGATAAATAATGGCATAGCCCCCTTCCTCACCTGACCTAAACCTTATTGAGAACTTGTAGGCCCTAAATGGGATATTTATGGTGAAAGGGATATCTATACTGATGTGGACGGGGTAATGTGTTGGGATGCTCTATCCTTCGATGGAAATGAAAATTATCAACCTACAGAGGACTGACGTCAAAGACACCCTGAAAATCAAAGGGAAGAAAAGATGCATCAGGTGAGTCCATTTTACTGAAATTTCATTGCAGCAACTCAGAATGGTCCTCAGTAGTTTTGCCCTGCTTGCTTGTATGCATGCCTGACAATATTGGGGCATGCTCATAATGAGGTGATGGATGGTGTCCTGGGGTATTTCCTCCCAGATCTGGACCAGGGCATCACTGAGTTCCTGGACAGTCTGAGGAGCAACGTGGTGGTGTCTGATGGATTGAAACATGATATCCCAGAGGTGTTCTATTGGATTTGGGTCAGGTGAGCGTGGGGGCCATTCAATGGTATCAATTCCTTCATCCTCCAGGAATTGTCTGCATACCCACATGAGGCGTGCACCAGGAGGAACCCAGGACCCACTGCACCAGCGTAGGGTCTGATAATGGGTCTAAGGATTTCATCCCGATACCTGATGGCAGTTGGTGCCATTGTCTAGCCTGTAGAGGTCTGTGCGTCCCTGCATGGCTATGCCTCCCCAGACCATCACTGACCCACCACCAAAACGGTCATGCTGAATGATGTTACAAGCAGCAGAACGTTCTCTATGGCTTCTCCAGACCCTTTCATGTCTGTCACATGTGCTCAGGGTGAACCTGCTCTCATCTGTGGGAAAAGCACAGGGCGCCAGTGGTGGACCTGCCAATAAGTTCTCCTCCATGCTCGTTGAGACTGTGCATGGGAGGACCACCGCACAATGGTGGTGTTCAATGCCAATTGAGCTCTATGGTGCTGGGCAGTGAGCACAGGGCCCTCTAGAGGATATTGCGCCCTCTGACCAAACAATCAGAAGCAGACTTCATGAGGGTGGCCTGAGACATCCTGTCCAGCTCTCCTAGAGTAACTGCCTGTCTCCTAGAATCTCCTCCCATGCTCTTGAGACTGTGCTGGGAGAAACCTGGAAATGGCAAACATGTTGATGTGCATCCTGGAGTAGTTGAACTGTCTGTGCAACCTCTGTAGGGTTCAGGTATCGCCTCATGCTACCAGTAGTGGCACGGACCTAGCCAAATGTAAAACTAGTGAAAAACAGTCAGAAAAGATGAGTAGGGAACAAATATCAGTGCCTCCACCTGTAAAACCTTCCTGGTGTGGGGTCGTTTCATTGTTGCCCATCTAGTACATCTGTAATTTCATTAACAACAAAGAAACTGAAACTGATTAACAAACCCCTCTGCTACTTAAACTCCTGGGATAATTGATCTGGTCAGTTAGATGATGTGAAATTATACTTTCAAAAAAAGTGTTTAATTTTTTTTATTTTTTTTTTGAGCCGTGTAAGTCAGATGGAAAATTTTTTTCCTTTTCATTTAGTTGCATAATTATGCACAGTGGTGCCGGTTCACATATATACAGTTTGGACTGCATCCAAATAACATTGCTTCCTATGGTGCCTGTTCACATACAGTTGTGTTAAAAATAATAGTCAGAGAAATAATAGAAAATCCAACAGTCATGACAAATGCTGCTGATTCTGTGTAATTGAATCACTAATTGAAAGGTCATTCATTCTTTGAAAAACAGGTGGCAAGTATTGCCCTTATTTAAGGAAGGAAGGCAGCAAATGTTGTACATGCTGGTTACAGTGCATTTTCTCTCTGAAATTCTGATGAAAATGGGTTCGTCC